ACATATTAGGGTCAGAATTACTGGGGACAATTCCCAATGCCCTCTCTGTGAATTAAGCAGGAGTTTTTTTGTCTTTGGAACCTCCCTGCCACTCTCATTTCCCTGCTGCCCCTACTAGCCATTTTCAACTTGCACAAATTTGCATGTAACAAGCACTCACTCTAATGGTCCAATGTGAAAAATGCTAACCTGGTGCTGCAATGAGAGACAATTTCCAAGTCTTTCTCTGTGAATTAAGTGGGAACCTGCCTTTGGAACATCCTTGCCAGTTGTATTTCACCACAGACTCCCAGATTCTTGTACCCTACACACCCCAAACATACACTTACACACTCATTTCTCACACCAACAACACCTCATGCACACATGCCAATCATACCAATTACACTCTCACATGTATCCATGCCTGACACACATTACCATACTCATACACGCTGCCTCATCTATGCCCGTCCCTTCTTGCACAGCCCCCACAAACTGAGTTCTGGGGCTCTACAGCTGGGCAGCAGCAGCAGAGGCAGTGAAGAGGTTGGTGCTGAAGGCTCCTGTGGTCCCCAGGGCTGAGGGCTGAGATCACCCAAGGATGAGGCATCCCAAGGGAATACGAAAAGCCAAGGAAAGTGTGTACCTGGGCAAGTGGGAAGGTCCACAGGCTTAAGGCTGCAAGAGTATGCTGCAGGTATGGAACCCTCCTCATCAGTCCCTGACGATGTGCCACTAGCTCAGGGCTCTTTATGTGGGGACAATGCTCTGAGCATCGGTCCTCTTACTATTGGACATTGTCACTATTTTATTCAAAGAAAGCAGTAAGGGACAAAAACAGATCTTGCTGGGAAAGCCGACGATCAGCAAATGCTGATGCCACCTAAATATCAGGGCCAATCTGTCCCCCGAAACCTACCACCTTTATGACCATTCCACAGGGTTGTGTTAGGACTCTTCAATGTGCTGTAACCTACCCAGATCTCTCCGTCTCCCTCTGCCCATCTTCTTGCTTGGGCTTTCAGTTGGTAAAGTCCCATCCCTTGTATTTAAGACAAACTTGTAGGGTCCCTCCTTGACTTCACTCAGGTCTTCCACTCACATCAGCATACTCCACATCTACCCCTTGCCTACCTCCTGGTGACCAGGGGCTCATACTTGCTTCAAGCTTGCCTGAGAGCACTGCAGGCCACTGACACACAATTAGCATCTAAAAGAAGCTTGCTAGTTCATTGGAAGGTAACATCCAGTGGATTTCTGTACTCCAAGTTCAGCATCCTAACTCCTCAGCACCCTGATCCCCCTACACACTTGCATTTCAGCATTCCTTCCCAGATACAAATGTTCATGGAATTTCAGGCATCCTCCTGAGTACATCTGGTTCATCCTCTCCCAGGAATATCCCTGAGACTGTGAGCACTTCTATTGCCCTATACTCCACATGACTAGTCCTGCCCATAGAAGAGGGGTCTTCCCTGACCATCCATCCAAATAGTTACCACCTTCCAACCTTYCTGACCTCCCATAACCCTGTATCATTACACTGACCCATTTTGCCCTATTTCCCACTATCTCACTCATGGATTTGGGGGGCTATATTTCCACTGTCTTTACCCAGCATAGCAGTCCCATGAAGATAAGTTGTTGTCTGTCTCCATCTCCGTTACCGACTTCCCAACTGACTTCTTGCGTGTATGAGTGTTGGTAATGTGTGTSAGGCATGGATACATGCGAGAGTGCAATTGGTATGATTGGCACATGTGCATGAGGTGTTGTTGATGGGAGAAATTATTGTGTAAGTGTATGATTGGGGTGTGTAGGGTACAAGAAAGTGGGAGTCTGTGGTGAAACACAACTGATTTCTTGCATGAATGTTATTTCATTCAAGTCACCAATTACCTAGCATAGGGCATTTCAGCCTTGCTGAGCAATGGGACAGTGCCCATCCAATCAGTCCTCCTGAGCTCAGTTTCAGACATTAATACATTTCTTTTAGCATGTCTTCCTTCCTTCTGCCCTACTTTTCAGGGGCCACACATACACATACACACACATACACATGTTGGAGTCCTTTAATTATACCTTATTATTTATTTTTTTAAACATTTACCAAATTAAAAAATCAGTTGCTCTTTTCCCAGACCTAGGATTCTCACCCCACCCTGCTCCTGTCCTCAAGAGAAAAAGTGGGCACTATAGGGGAAATTTGGCCACTCACCTCACGCTGGCTTCTTCGGACCCGCAGAAATTTGTAGGCAAACTTATCTTCCAGGGCTTCATTAAACCAAAATATAGCATACTCCAAAGAAAGAGCAAAATACTCTTTGGTCTTGTCAATGTCTACAAATCTGTTACTGCAGAGGTGGGCTCCCAGCACCACAAGCCCCACAAACAGGAGCACCTTCCACAACATGGCTGCCAGCGTCAGTACTAGGGGGTGGTGGCAGCTACAGTTAGTGACTCCCTTGCCAACTCTGATCCCACATAGCCCTGCCCACCAGAGATCCTGTGCTGCTGACTGCCTCCCTTTGTCCAGTGTTTCTGTCCGGTGCTTCATCTCCACTCCCCAACCTTGCTCCTCCCATCATCTCTAAGCAGAAAGAAGGCAGAGCAAGAGGTCATATTTTCTGCTCCATGGTGACACAAGCCCTAAAACAACCTGTGGGCATGCACATAGCATATACCTTGCCTGCACAACTCCTTCAGCCACAGCCCAGCCCTGAATCCCAGGATTGGCAGAGCCATGAAACTCTTAGGAGTAAAGGTGGATCCTGAGTATAAGTGAGTTGAGGTAAGCACCAGATTTGTCTATGACCCAGACTACAGTCCATGCCCTCAGGGAGCCTCAGAAGGGTACAAAGCAGGAAGCCAGCATCAGGGCTAGGAGAATCATTTCCTCCACAATTTCAGGTACCTGCTGGTCACCTAGCCCCTCCCTTTCCTTATCTAAGGTCTGTCCATGGTTTTGCTTAGCAAAGGCAGAGGGCTGTAAGACTCCCAGGGCAAAAGGGAAGCCAAGTTCAATGTAGTAGCTCTGCAAGGATGTACATGGATAACCAGTCATGGGCCTAAGAAAGAGGCAGAAACTGGGGAAGGGGCAACTCTGTTGAGTATAGACTGACAAGCATCCTCACCCAGCTCTGCCTCTTTGTGGTCCCATGGCCTTCATGTGTCACTGTATCAGGCTCTTCTCAAAGGAACTGACCCATGCATGCCCTTCCTTTATCCTGGGAAGACTTCTGGGAGGAAACAATGAAACAGGCTGGGAAGATAAGAAGGCTGTCAATAAGAGTGAGGATGCTGAGCAATGAAACAATCTTCCCTGCCTTGTGGTRTCAGGACACCTGAACCTTGATAATCCTTACAAGGGCCCCAGCTTTGGAAACATATTGTAAGAAAAGGACTGGAGCTGACACAGGAAGAGATGGGAGTGTGGATAGAATGATGGCCACAATCATGAACAACTTCCTACACTTATGGGTGGGAGGAAATAATCTTCCAAGACGGCCTGACACATCAATGGATGACTAACAGCCTGGGGGCCTGAGGAATRCAGTGGGTCCCTGCTTGGACAACCATGCTTCAAAGCATGTGTGAACCTCCTTGCTTCCTCCCACCCAAGATGCTGCAACTTTCCAATTCTTATTTATCTTCACCATCCCTTTTTCTGAGGTCTGCCTGATCTGTAAGAGGCCCCTTCTTCATTGCAGGAGTAGATTATGGTAGTCTTCTCCAATTCTAGATCTCTGTTGCCAAGAGTTAATCATTTCATTCGACCTCCTGAAGAACTGACTTGGAATTCTTGATTCTTTCTATCCACCTTTGTTTCCTCTTTCATGCATTCTTATTATAATTCCTTCCTTCTATTTTTCTCCAGGTTTAACTAGGAATTCTTTGGTTCTTGCAATGGAAACCGAAGTCATTGATGGCTGCCTTGTCCACCCTCCAGCATGTGCATTTCCAGACCTATTACGTGTCCCTCAAAGCCCAATATCAGCAAACATCCACACGTTTGTTACTTCAGAAGGTTTTAATATGTATAGCTTAGTCTGCAAGGGGATTGCTTCTCTAGCCCTTATATTACATAGAGATGTGCAGTTAAAGTTATCAAATATTTCTCTCCTTAATGTCTACCTAATTTTTACTGTGGCCAGAGAGTGTTCTTTGAAATTTATCAAGATGTGGTATATGAACCAGAAGATGTTCAGTTTTGATAAACTTCTATAGGTTCATACTCTGCAGTTGTTGGGTAAATGGTCCGTGTAATACAAAATCAAATATAAACCAAACTTATTGCTATATTGTGTGCATGTATGACTATGTAACAACAAATCTCACTACTATGTATAATTATAATGGAATAATAAATAAATAAATAGGTTTTCTAAGTTGTCCCAAAATATGAAATCAAATTTGCTTAATGGATTCTTAAATTTTTTATGTCTCTTCTGTTTTTTTACTCTGTCAATCTGTTGATTACTGAGAAAGGTGCTTGAAACCCTCTCACCAGGATCCTGGATTTAATGGTTTTATTTCCTATCTCTGCCAGGAAGCCTGACATGTCCCCAAGGACAGACTACTGTCAGTGTTGATACCCTCCCTCTACTTCTGAGCATAGAACTGGCCTCCCTGCAGAAAAGCCACCCACTGTGGGCCTGGTATCTGAGATGGAAGCCGAGGGAACACAGATGGCTGCTCACTGGCAATTTTTTTACATTCCTTTTAAATAGATGGGTGAGGAACATGGAGAAATTGGAGAATGAATGAATGTATGGGTACACAAACCAACCAGTGGGGCCCCTGCCTGAATTGCTTCACATGAAGTGAGAAGTTTGATTTACTCAACACTCGGCACCTGCAGTCAAGGTAATGTAATAATTATAATAGATTCTCCATTGCTTATCGCTAATGGTGACATTCTTGGCAAACAAGCAATACAGAAGAGCTTAAAACTGCTCAGGGACCCATAATGTACTCAAAGATGTCTTTAATTGCATTGACACTGCACAAGCCTAGGACTACAGACTGTCTAGGGAAAGAGGGGATTTCTGCTGTGAAAAGCCAGGGGCCCCTTCCCCACCTGTACAGGTGCTGTACAGAAGAGTAAACTGGGAAAACCAAGGCCGGGCATCCACATGAAAAGTACAGCGCACCTAGAAGAAATAATAATTGTAACATATATCAGAAAAATGTAATGCATGGAGATCATTTAGCATGTATAGAGTCTTGAGATGCATTAAAAGCCAATTTTTTTAAAAAGTATAAACATTCACCTGGTACAAGGCTCATAAAACTCAAGTATCCACCAGAAAAAATGGGCAGAAGTTGATAAATCCATCACCCAGCATGAACGCAAGGGGTACCAAGGGGGCACCTGCCTGAAGGCCATCACTTTGCCTCCTGAGGCATCCAGTCCACTCAGAGCCTCTCCAATACACATCATGACAGATGATCTGTCCCCATGCTGTGTGCTCTGACAGAGCCAGCAGACAGCCTGAAAGATGGTTCTGCTGGCCACCACCAAAGAGAGTAGCAGCACAAACCTACCCCAGAGGCTGCCTGCAAGGATGCTGGTTGAAGGGGGAGACCCCCCACTGATGGCATGCCTCTGACAGACAACCATCCTGAAGCTCCCACGTCCCATGGATCACATGTCAGTCATAGGATGGCCACATCAGAACTCAAGCCCACCAGGAAGTGTCCTTACAACCCAGTTACAAGAAGGAAAGGTGGRTGAATAGATAACTAAACAGTCCTCCAGTCCCCAGACAGGAGCAAAAGAAGAGTGAGGACCACAGGGAGAACATCATCTGTCTGAACCTCAGGGGTTTCAGAAAGGTACGGGGCTGGGACCACAGGAAGGGCTCCATCTTGTGACAAAGGCCACATGGATGTCTGCAGGTTGCCTGTGGTCAGCCAGTAAATCTGTGAGCAGAGGGCTGCTCCCAGGGCTGGGAACCAGGCTCTGTCTGTTTAAAATGCCCCCTTTCCAGCCAGTATGGGAGCCCTGAGAGCTGGTGGGAGAAGGGTCAGGAGCCCTCATTCTGTCCCTGGACTACCCCCAACAACTTTCCTTAGGGCTCCACCCAAAGGCCTTCTTGATATTACTTTGCATTCCCCCGAGGATTCACAATGCTTTCTCAAACCTTTTTTTCTTCTGCGCCTTCTTGCATAGGACAATTGTCAATGTCTTCATCATGCTTTTTACAAATTGTGCGGCCCATATCCAAGTCCATTAAGAATATCATTGTCCATGTCTGTCAAGAAGAAATGATAAAATGATCAGCTAAATATTTGCTTTTTGTGAATATAAAATAAAAAGAGAACCAAGTCGAAAAGAAGGCAAATGCAATTTCTGTAAGTCAGTAGAAATGTGTCCTAAGTGAACTTAAGACTGGAGTCTTTCCTTAATACTTGTCCCAATGGCTAAGATGTGGTAGTACCTAGGGCAACAATAAATAGGTATACAGAGTATGGCACATTCACACAATCAAATCCTATACAACAAGGGCCCTGCACGCATTACAGTTATACCTGACCATATGACTACTCTCAAAAGTATGACTAAGAAGCACCACCCAGAAACAGGGAAGGCCTACTGAGTGATTTGTTTRGCATAGAGTAAGAAAAAAGGTAAGACTAAGCCTGCTATTAGAAATCAGAATGGCACTCTCTCTTTGGTGGAGGAAGTCTAAACTGGAGCATGGGTGTCTTGGAGGTCATGAATGTTGTTTCCCATGTCGGGGCTGACCACGTAAAAAATGTTCCTCTTGCAAACATTCATTGAGGCGAGTATATATGTGCACCATGCTTCTGTAAAATGAATTTTAATTCCTTAAATAGAAGTCCATGAAAACTCAGAAATTACTAAAAGATAGAAAGAAAACAAATCCAGTTAGGAAATCCTCTCAGGGTGGAACATACATCTCACTGGACTGACTTGGAAATTGTCTAAAAACCTGATTCAGTCAGGGACTCAGTATTCCATGTAGATGACAAGGATATCCACTCATGCCCAATACACACCAGACATTCGCATGCTCATGCCCCAACACAGATCAACAACACTCACACATTCATGCCAAATACTGTAATAGTTACCGCCAGTTACTGTTAGTGTGCAAACTAACAGCACTCAACATGGCTCTCTCACATCTGCCCCTCCCTCCTTGCTTGGACTCTACACACTGAGACGGTCTTGAGCTCCAATACTAAGCAGCAGCAGCAGCAGCAGTAGATGTTGAAGAGTGGTTGGTGCTGAGGGCTCCTGTGGATCCAAGCACCTACAGCTAAAAAATCAGTCCAATGAGGAGGCATTATCAAGGGAACAGGAAAGATCGGGGAAAGTGTGTCCCTGAGCAGGAGGATKGGTCTGCAGACCTTCGGCTACAGGAGACTGCTGCAGATGTGAAACCCTCCTGGTCAGTCCCTGCTGACATTCCACCTGGTCARGTTTTTTAATGGGAGACAATACTTTGGGTACAGACACAGTGACTGCCACTCACCTTTTTTTGGGCTCTTCCAACCTCTAGCAACCTGTATGTATTCTCTTCCGCGTTGTCATCATTGAATTGAGCCACAGCAAACTCCACTGATGCCACAAAATAATCCAGATTCTTACTGATGTCTACAAATTCTTTTTTAATGGTCCAGATATGGGTCCCCAGCACAATGAGTCCCATAAGCAGGGGCACCTTCCACAACATGGCTGTCCTCAGCCTCAGCCCTGGAGGCTAGGAATACATGGGTGGAGAAGGAGGTGACAGCTGTAACCRGCGACGCCCTGCCAGCTCAGGAGCCCACATTAGCCCTGCCCACCAGAGGCTCTGACCTCCTCCTTCTCATCAGCACCTCTATCCATCACCTCATCTTCACCCCCATGCTTTTCCCTCCTGTAATCACCAAGCAGAAGGCAGAGCAAAGGTCACATTTTTCATAGCCTTGAACCCACCCAAGGGCATGCATGCAAAATACCTGCCTGTGGCCTGTATATCTCCAGGACTGCTCCCAAGAGGTCCACCAGAGAGCTCCTAGGGAAGCTCCTGCCTGCTACTGCAGCCCCATTCCTGGAGGCCCAGTGCCTGCCTTGCTTGCCCTTGCACAGTGCAGGCAAGGATTGCCAGGGTTTGACAGAACTCCCAGGAACTCTGATGAGCCCATTCCTGGGGAATTGAAGCCGTTGTCAGTTCTGTTCATGACCTTGACTAGAGCCCATACCACCAGCTGGGCTCAAAGGAGGAGTACAGGGTGTGCAGCCAAGAGTGATGAAGAGTTGGGGGTGTGGGGATCTATGAGAGGCCATCTTCCCCATGCCCTGACTCTCCTCTGCCAGAAGGTACACCTAGCTCCATCCTCCCTGTCTGTGGTGCCAGTTCCTAGTTTTCCCTTACTTCTAAACATTTCCACAGATATCCTTTTTGACCTGTGGGCTATAATAGTTGTATTGTTTTACTCTCAACCATAGTTGATTTTCTAATTATCTTTTATCAACTTTTAACTGAAGTCTATTGTGTCCAAAGAACATTCTTTAACTTCTCTTCTTTGAATTTTTTTTTTTGTTTGGAATATGAACAATATTCTCTATGCTTTTCAAAAACAGTGTATATTCTGAATTTTTTGGTATACAGTTAGATATCTACATAGAAAAGCCATTTTGTTTTATATACATATGTGTGTGTGTGTGTGTGTGTGTGTATTCCCTCCCTCCACCCCCCCCACACACACACCCTTTATTTTTATTTTGTTTTATTGAGTTGTTTGGTAGGGTTTAGCTTTGGTATAGTTTTGGTCTCCTATCTGCCAGTTACTAAGGAGTCTTAAAATCTCTATGGGTTTGGTTATGAATTTGTCTCTCCTTCTTTTCTGACAATTTTGCTCTCGATATTTTGATACTCTGTCACTAAGTGCTTATACAAGTAGAACTGTCACAGCTTCTTGGTGGCTGAACATTATCTCACTATGTATCTTTAGGGCTAGGGTTGTAGCTCAGTGGTAGAGTGCTTGCCTATCATGTGTGAGGCACTGGGTTCAATTCTCAACACTACATACAAATAGATAAAAATAAAGTTTGAAAAAAAGAGAAATATATTTTTAATGTGGAGTAAAGCTTCTGGCTCTGAGGTCTACTTTGTCTGATATCTGAGTTAAGTATATCTACATTGCTTTGATTAGTATTTTTATGATATGACTTAACCTATATTTTTACTACTAAATGGTATCTTAATTAATATCTGTCTTTGTTTTCAGAAGCGTTTTCAATCCACTAAGAGTTTTTTATTTGGAGCATTTGTTCCATTTCCAATTGCTCATGTCACTGATAACTTGCCGGAGTCCGGCTGCAGCAAAATAGCCGGGGGGTGACGAATAACTTCTGTAGATTGATGCAGCAGGAATAGGAGCCGTTTATTGTAGGGCAACAGAGCTATTTATACATTTTGCACAGCTTATCTTAATTAGCATAAACTAGATACATCAGCCTGGGTCCTCAGGTCAACTTAAATTGACCTTCAACTTTAGGTCAGAGGATTTAAGCGTCAAGGAGATCAGGGCATGCTGAATTGAGCTGCTGCTTCTGAGGTTGGTCCTGGCAAAAGATTTTTTGTTGATCAAATGACTGTCCAGGACCCCAGGGACAGGATTATGTGACTAKATCTTCTGGAGATTCAAGGGCAAAGAAGAGGCCTTCCTGGCTAAGGTCCCTGGGGGATTTGTGAGAACTCCCAGAAGTTCTCCTGGGTTTGGCTTCATTGTCAGGGAGGCTCATAATTGAAAATATTTTGTATACTTATGTTAATAGCAGCATTATTTACAATAGCCAAGAGTTGCAAGCAGCCCAAGTGTCTATCAATCGATAAAAGTATCAACAAAATGTAACATTTATGTCTAATGGAATACCATTAAAAAGGAAGGAAACTGTGATACATGCTACATTGTGGATGAACCTAAAGGATTTATACTAAGTAAAATAKGCCAGTCACAAAAAGATAAGTACTAAATGCTTTGACTTATATGAGTACCTAGAGCAGTGAAACTCGCAGACACAGAGAGTAGAATGGTGGCTGCCAAGGGCTAATGTGGGGGCAGAGAAATGGGGAGTTATAGTTCAATGGGTATAGAGTTTCCACTGGAGATGATGAAAAAATTCTGGAGTTGGATGATGAGGTGATTGCACAACAATGATAGTGTGTTTAATACCACTGAACTGTACTTAAAATTTATTAAAATGACAAATTTTATGTTACTTGTATTTTACCACAAAARGGCTCAGGAGAATTCAGAATCACAAGCTGATACTTACAACATCTTTTGGCATTGTCCTCTGCTGCTCAGTCTGGCAGTGATGAGGTAGGAGAGACCAAAGGACAAAATGTCCTTTACCAAATACAGCCCCGTTCCTGACCTTCTTGGTCTACTCTGGTCTCCCAGCTGTTTGGGATATTTAGATATTTCTGAAGCATTGTGTTGTCCAGGAGCAGTGGGGGCYAATGGTAGCCACTCTGGAGGGAGTTTCTCTGCTCACTGAGCTTTGGCAGAGTTCAGCTTTCTCAGAACACCTCTGTCCAGGTGCCTGATTCTTGTGTGACATTTGACATCATCATTTAGCCAGGGAAGAATTGCAACCCAGGAGAACACAATAGAGTTGCTATCTGGTATTAGGATAGTTCTTCCTTTTGAGTGCTCTGAAGAAAAGTTGTGGATTTTTTTTTTAAAAAATGGCTTTTCTTCAATCATTCATCCATAAATGATTAATGCATCCATAAATCAGAAACAGGATCAAGCATCAATGTACATATTTCATCATTTGAAAAAACAGGAATTTTCTTTCTGGAATCTGGCAAAATTCTTTTATGAGTGGCTTAAGGAAATTTACTGGAAGGGAAGGTGGGTGCTGGGAAACAGAATTGCCAATTATAGTCGTTCCTGGAGTCCAAATGGCCAAGGAACTCATATCAAGTCTCATGGGTCTCTCATCCCCTGCCCCATCCCACACTTTCAACSATGCCCCTGAATGGTAAACTGATGGATAAATGTGTTCATTTCAGGGACACTTCTGTCCCTTAGTTCTCAAAGTTCTAATTGTTACTACTTCAGAAGTTGGGAGGGACTAAGACAGTTGGCACAGCACCCAGTAAACAGAGGTTCCTTTTATCAAACTTAACTAGTTCTCAGGAAGGAGAACAAAGCAGTTGGAGGTCTGCAGAGAAAAATAACCTGAAACTGGGCTTCCAGTAGATGTGGAAGGTGTCACTTACTGAGGCCAAGGAGCACAAACCAAGAGAGAATCAAGAACCTGCTTCTGTTATGGGATATCACTTGTACCAGGATGCCATCCTCATGTGTGCATTAGACAAGCACAAATTCAAGGAGATTCTAGAATATAATAACCTTTCAAAGATATCAAGGAAAGACTGAGATGATATTCTTCATGGAAGAAGGCCAAATGTAACAGGTGACTTTGTGTCCTTTTATTAGTAAGCTAGAAAAGGTTCTTTCCCCATGAAGTTTCAGAGGGAAAAKCTCTTTACATTGTCATTATTTTTCTGCAAGTTTGAGATTCTTTTAAAATAAAACTTACATTTAAAAACTCAGGGGGCTGGGGATGTGGCTCAAGTGGTAGCATGCTCGCCTGGCATGCATGGTACGCTGGGTTCGATCCTCAGCACCACATAAAAATTAAGATGTTGTGTCCACTGAAAACTAAAAAATAAATATTAAAAATTCTCTCTCTCTCTCTCTCTCTCTCTCTCTCTCTCTCTCTCTCTCTCTCAAAAAAAAAAAAAAAGAAAAGGAAAGAAAAAAACAATACTCAGCAGTGTTCCAGGCACATGCTTAGAATCCCAAGAAGTGTGACTGAGGCAAGAGGATCATGAGCTCAAGGTCAGCCTCCACAAGTTAGCAAAACTCTGTCTTAAAATAAAAAATAAAAAGATCTTGAGATGTAGCTCAGTGGTAGAGCACCCCTTAGTTCAATCTCCAGTACTGTCCAAAAAAAAAAAAAATCAGCAATGCTGCAGTGCTGGGACACAGCAGTCTCCTCAGCATTTGGAATTGAGTAAGAGAGGCAAAGAGGTGATCCAGCAGGACATCAAATGCAGGCACAGGTATGTCCAGGTTGTAGTACTGTGACCCAGYTCTGCACATTCAGCAATAGGAAAATATCTTGTTTCTTCAGAGAAAGAATCACACATTACTGCAGCTGCAAATATCTTCAATCCAGACGAAGGTCATTTCTTTGCAGATTAGAAGGCTGAGATACAAGGAGAATGCAGAGGCATTGCTCCATGTGGTGCTTCTGGCTTTATCAAAGTCCCTCAGGGCCATCAGAAGGGAGCACAAAGCTTGGCCTAGCATTCGGCCCATGAAGGCTCCATGYTCTGTCAACAGAAAGTGCGCAGGAAGAACAATGAGAGGTAAGGAAGAAAACCCACTTGGGGTGTGTTAATGAGTAGGTGACTCTGGGCACCTGGAGCTCTTTCCCAATGGGGAGCCCAAGGAGACTGTGCAGAGTACCTGCTCTGGAGGTGGCCCATCTGAACTGCACAGAGGCTGGGATGCTGATTCCCTGGTTCTTGCCTGTAGAGGATGCTTATAGGTATATAAAATAAATTACTGGCACCTTTGGCCTATTCCATGTGGGCAAACAAGCCTTGTGGCCAGAGAAAGCCTCAAGCAAAGTCCCGGTCTTTTTGGAGCACCCACAGATCTGCCATGC